CACAGCAATGAAAAAATATGTCAAAGTGTGTTAGGAAACATTTTTAAGGGACCCCAAGCAGATCCTAGGAGAGAAAGGAGGAACTGTCACCACAAACTTCATATTCCTCCCTGTTAGGGACACGAGATTTCAACAACTCATTGTACCACTTGCCCTGCTCTGCCTGCAGTAAATGACACCTTAGGAACTGGAGGAGCATAAATACTAGGAAAACAGAAATTAAAAAGTAGGTTTTACAGGTTTAATTGTATTTTTACTATTATTGCAACTTTTTAAGTACAGAGAAAAAAAAAACCACATTGCATTTGATTCTTTTTTTGGCAACAATTAGGTCTGGACTAACAGTGATTAGACCAAGACTTTAGTTATTCTAGCACTAAATTCTAATTCTACTTTTATACCACGTGCATACTCTTACATATAAAGACAACTTTGAGTATAACACTTCTTAATCTTGACTTTCCATTCTTGAAGTCCAATAACCCTGTTTCATTTCTGTGTTTTTCCCAAGTCAATTGTTTCGTGGTACTGTCCAACCTTCTGGACCAAGGCTCCAGAGGACCTGGCTCAAAAATAGCTTCTCCCACCACAGATGTCAGGAAAAGCACACAAGGCCCTGTGTTGTGAGAAGAACCTGCTGGTTGCTCAAACATAACAAAAGAGAAACCTATTTCTTGACTTGATCTCCAAGAGTAGAACTCTCTCTTGACACCCCAGTGACAGGGTCTTGGATTTTTTTCCTTCCTTCTCTTTCCCAGAGACTTCACACGGCAAGGCTGTGTATTCTGGATCCAAGAGCAAAAACTACCAGGGCCACATCATGAAACAGCTAACCCAAAGCTTTACAATTTATTAGGACAATTTAATCTCCTTTTAAAAAGCTGCCTCTTTTATTGTTATTACTCAGCATGTTGACTCATATATAATTTATTTGCTCCTGTAATTTTCTACCTTTTTAATGTTTTAATAATTATCTGAAATATTCATTTTGGCAGCAAAACATCTATTCTGGGGTATGCCCTCTTTTGCAACTCATAATTATTATTTTTCTCGCTGCTGTGCTGATATATTGTCTAGAAAAAATTTGAGGGAGCTGCAAATACCTTCTCCCACTATGCACTCCCATGGTCTTGGGGAACATCTGGCACAAAGTCCCTGCTCGAGTCTGGTGTGACCAGTGATGCAAACTCTGCTCTTAAATCAAGCACAGCGGGGAGCTGAGCAAGTGCAGAACAAAAATAAATTTTTTTAAACCTCAAAAAGCTGCCAGATTTAATCAGAAGTAAGAGCGATTTTTGGCAGAGGCAGCTGTTCTCTTCCTCCCCTGGTCCTGCCATCCACTCTGGCCATGCAAGATAAAATTCACTGACTGTTCTCACTCAGAACAGCCAGGGCTGGAGCAGGACAGACTGAACCCTTTCTGGTGAAGGCAAAGAGGTGTTTCCACAACTCTTACAGAAAAAGGACCATTAGTACAAGCACTGAGTTGAGTGACAAATGCAGGAGTTGAACAGCTGGGGGCTGAACGCGAATTCTTGCTGCAAAGCCACCAGCATCTGCTAAACTCACCTTCCTAAGAGCATGATGTCTTTCAAAAGCAAGGTATCTGGATACCCTCTTTTGCTGATTTGGATAATGTTGCTATATTTACGCTTTTTTGACTTACTGACAGTTATGCAGACCCTCAAAATCTTTGGTGTTTCCTTTATTCTGTTAATTTTAGCCATGTGTGTTTTTTTCTCACCTTTCCCTCAGCTTGTCAGCGCTGGAATCTCTGAACCCACTCCATTTGAAACGTTTGCTTCTTTATATATACTGCAGATTGTAATCCATCTACACCATGAAGGGAAAGCAGCCCTTTTTTTCCCAAAGGGGAAGTGCAACCAGTTTCTAGGAACAACCAGCATATTACTAGATAGGTGAATGCTGGAATGCCAGCATCCAAACTAGCATTATAGACAGAATAAATCAACACTAACAGCATCACACACTTTATATGAGAGGGTTAACAGAGTTAAGGGGGGTTCATAGAAAATGACAGTTCTCTCCCCCTTCCTGGTAAAAAGTTACTCCTGTGAAGTTTTGCTTTAAACTGCACATACATCAGCATACAAGAAACTCCAAAATGCAAACAGAAAAGCACAGTGATAAATAGGGAAATTTATTTTTAGCCCAGCAGAGATTTATCACTGCGAGAGTCTCGTGACTTTGACAAATTTAACAATAATGAGCTGTGTATACAACCTACAATGGCTGACAGCAAATAATATATTCCATCTGCTGGAGTTGCCCCAGGAGGCTGGTGTTCAAGGTCTAAAAACTTTTAAATTTCTACCATTTTTTTTTTCCTCCCTAATAAAAAGCATTATGAAATAGCTATTTGGTTCATTTTGTGAAGCATGCTGTTATTTGAAGAGGGAGCTCTAATTACATATAGAAAAAAAAAATTTACACCAAAATGTTATTTTCCTTCTATAAGGATTGGTCTCCATGACCTGCCACTCCCAGCTATTAGGGGGGAAGTTTCTGGCCTTTCCATGTCTGTAAGAATGGTCAAGTTCTGAGTGCTGCAGAGCACTCTAAATTAGTCACACCCCATGCAAGGTGCAGAAATCAGGGGCTGTTTTCCTGTTGGGTTATCAAGCACTTGTTTCAGAGTTCCATCGTTTCTGGTGAGCAAAGATTTCATTTCTATATTATGCACTATCCACTACCTGTTTTTTATTCCACATACACATGATAATATACATGATCAACATTATTTCTGAGATTTCCCTTTTCTAAAACCTGCTTTGTATAAAAAAAAAAAGGAAAGAATTTTTGTCCAGCATGGAAAGATATGCCTCCTCAGCAAGTTTTAAGCAAGCCAAGAGGATGCTGGGTGGACATGGAGACACGAACAAGATTTCATAAGAAAAATTTTATTTGCATGGGAAAAGGTGCACACACATAATGCAATTCCCAAATTAGGGTAAATTTATCCTTTATAAAGGATATTTTAAGTACATTTCTCTCTATGTCTGCATGGAAATAAGGAATTTTCTGTTATCTGCACTTGACAGGCATTTGTTTCATGCCTTCCTACTGACCCCAGCAGCAGAATAGAAGAGGTGCTTTAAAGCAACATCTCTGCTCCTCCTAGTGAAAAGTGATATAGCAGATATGATCTAATTAAACATCTAAATCCACCATCTTCTGTAAAATATCCAGCCCCCACAACCAATGAATAAAATATTCCACTATAGCAACACTCAAATAGAAGCTATCCTGGCTCTTTTCATTTACCTTCTTTATTATTATTATTTTCTCTGCCTTTTCTACTTTCAGCTTTTTTGAGAAGAAAAAAAAATAACCCCATTTACAGGCTTGAAGCCTAATACTTCCCCTTTCCAAGAATAGAAGCCTATTAATTCTGGCAAGGAGAACCTCACTGAGAGAAATCAGGTTTAAACTTTTTTAGAGGTGTCAAGAATGTTCAGCCAACTGAGCAATTGAGTTTGCCAACCACATTCCTGGAAGCTTTGCAACAGAAGGAATGAATCAGAAAAATCAAATTAAGTGTGATTATACCCCTGATGCTGGCTAAGGCAAAACGTAAAAGAAAATAAAAAATAGATAAAAATTAATCTGTAAGGGAATAATATGCAGGGCTGTCTCTCAGAACAAAACATTTTCAGAATAAGGGGGATAAATTCTTTCATTTTCCTGTTACCAAGCTGCCAGGTAGAAAAGAGATACAGGCTTGTCTTTTTACCCCCTTTCCTGGGATGAGGAGTTTTGCTCACATTAATTATGACCATTCAGAGAACAATGCTCTAGTTAATAAACGTAATAAACAGTATTCTGAGACGTGGAGTTCTTAAATATCATAAATACCCTTCACCCCCTTTCCCAGAGCCCATAAAAGCACTGCAAGGGCCAAACAAATAAACCAAAACACCACACTTGCTGAAAAGCAATCTGACCTCAAAGTAACAGGTTAAAAATTTACATCAGAGCACGAAGCACAAGGCAGGGCATGAGGGGGAATGAAAACCCCCATCAGTGGAAGGAAAGTTTTGTGTCAGCTTCGATGTGATGTAAGAGCAGCGATTTTATCCAGAGTTGAGGTTCATGTTTATCAAAGGCAGATGAAAACCTAACTCAAATCATAACATAGCATCCCCTAGACCAGGGCCAGCATCTTGGGATGTCTCAGTAAACTTGGCAAGGCTTTGTGTGCCTCTAGGTAAGGAACAGAACTCAGACTGCAAGGAAACATCCTCCCTTTTAGCAGATCCAGAACAGACCCTCAACCCCATCAGACAGAGGAGATCAACACAGCAGTGGAAAAACTAGCTTTCCAGAAAATCTTCTTTTATAGTAAACAATACCATTTTTGTATGCACATTTCCATTACAAACCTTAATTAAAAATAAGAATTTTACAAACAAAGCAAGTATCTTAACTCAGCCCTGAAATTCAATCAGTTTTCAGGTTGAAATACACCCATCATTTATAGAAACATATAATATTTTAAATGAAGCAAGAAAGAAATCCCATTTATAAAAACCTCTTGGTTGAAAATAATTTTCTGTTCCTACTACAATTTGCTTGTGCAACGTTCAAGAGGGTGCGGTAAAAAAAAGTGAAAAATATTTTTCCTGGCTTATTTTTCCTTCCTTCAGATTCTCTGGGAGATAAAGTTTAAAGGTGGGGCAGATTTGAGGAAGCTTTCCACACGCCTCTGAAATAATTCAAAAAAGGACAATTAATAATATAGCCGACATTTTATTTGATTTAAGTTTGGTAAACAAAGAAAGGTCTTGATGTTCAGACCGTATGAATCTAAATTTGTGTATTCCCACTTTTGTTATGCAACCATTGGTTGGAGGCATCTTGCTTTACTCATTAGCTTATTTTGTCACAGAAATTTTCCCTTCAGCAAGTCAATTCTTTTTAACATTGTCTCTTAAAAAATAATAAAAAAAAAAAAGCTAAACTCAGTGGAAGCAAGTTACCTCTGGGCTCATCAATGTAGAAAGACACATCTTTTTTGTCCTCCTGTTCATCAACGTGATCATAAGTGATCTGTGGCACAGACAAGGCATTTTCTCCCGGGTTTATTGCCGGTGCAGAACCATTACCACATCCTAGCTTTCCTTTTCTTTTGGATCTTCTAGCCTGGAACGACATCAGAAGACATCACCAAACACAGACAAGAACACGTGTGAGTTTCACTATGCAGTAAATTCACTTGAGGTCATATGTTTGGGTTTTTTTTCATTTAAAAAATGAAATTGAAATTCAGTGAAAGGGTTAGAACTTTTGTTTTCAGCCCCAAATAAAAGTACCGTGGAGTACTTCAGGAAAGCACAGCTACTTGTCAGCCACATGTTGGATGTCAACACAAGTTTTTAAACCATCTTCCTCCTTTCTTTTTGGGTGAACTACGAGGCAGAACGAACGCATCGTCGCTTTACAGTACCCTTGGAGAAAGCAGGAGACTTCAAAGGGGATAAAACCACGGAGAATTGGCACCTATCTGACCACCAAGCAAATTTAAAGTTAGAAGAGATTTGTCTCTCAGGGACATTTTTAAGGAAAACGCAGCCAAATCGTCCTGTAGCAGGAGGAAAACAATCAAACGCATTTCAGCTGCCCAGATTCTTCAGGCGCTTCGCGAGAGGCTTTTGGCAAGTTATTCCCTTGAAATTTAAAAGCAAGCAAGACACCCGAGCTCTGCCAACCAACCAACCCTCCGTTACCTGTTTTCTCAGACCGGGGCTAGATGGCGCTGCCGACTTTTTGGGATTTTGCACGGGGGATGCAACATAAATCTTCCAGGTGGCTGTAGAGCTGCAGGATTTCTCGGCTGCATAGCATCGCCACAGGGTCTGCAATGACACCCCAGCCCAAAAATCTCAGTAAATGATGAGCAGCCACCGCTGCCCTGCAGGGCAGGGGAGTCACGTTTGGCTGCAAATCAAACTGGCAACAAAACCCTCAGTCAAGGTAAGGGGGGCAGCTGGGATCTATCCCTGCCCACGGGGGATGGAGGGCAGGAATCAAGACATAAAACACCCTCAAAGAAGTGAATCCCCCACAAGCATCACCGGATGCTGCTGCTTCATTTTTTTCTTCACTGTGCCACGTTCAATATTTGTGCACCATGTTCCTGGATTTGTTATGTTATCATAAAGACTGTTATCCCTGGGCATTTTATATTATCATACAGACTGTTATCCCTGGGCATTTTATATTATCACATAGACTCATCATCTCAGGGTTTCACAGATGCCCAGGACCTAAGAGAACATCGAAAGGAAGTTATGAATTAAATATCATAATGATGATTTTTTTTTGTTTGTTTTGTTTACTGTTTCCCCACACATTCTCATTGTATCCAGTTAGTGTCCTTATGCCTGGGAATATCAGGTTAGCACAGCTTTCCTGTGCTCGCCTAGAGAGGGAGGAGGGACAGGCAATAATCTAATTTTCTCTAATGAATGAGGAGGATCAAAATGACTAAGTGGTTAAACACAAGTTATAGGTTTATAATAAAATCTAGAAGGCATGATTCTCAGTATTTGAACCACTAGGCCATGCTCCTTCTCCAATAAGCTCCTATATATTTTACTGTTAGGGGCCTTACCTGAATTAGGGAAGCTGCAGCTGGGATCTGTCTGTTGAAATGCTTCTGACGTTGCTTTTGCTGCACTTTCAGGGCAAAACCAGACCCCAGAATACCCTAAATATATCCAAAATCCCTAGTCAGACTCTAGTATGGCTTCACATACCTAAATCAAACACTCAGCATATGATAGAAACAGAAATTTTATAAAAGACTTCCTGAGAAAAAGGATGAATTTTCAAGTGTCCCTTGAAAATTTACAAACAAATAAATCTGAAATGGAGCAGATCAATGCTGGCATCATGTAACTTCAATAAACAGCAGGTGTTTATTGGTGTGAACAAGAGGCTACAGGAGCCAGAGATGCTCACAGAGGCAGACACGTTCCAAAGGCAACCCTGCACAATGGTGTGAGAAGCAAATGACAGCATCACATGACTGATTCTCAGCTGTTCTTTTCACTTATTTTGAATTCCTTGCCACAAAAAAAACCCAAATCCCAAACTCCTCCCAATCCCCCAAAAAACTCCTCCCCAACCCTCCCTAAAAAAAACTCCAAACCCACCTGTTCCCCCACAACAAAAAAAAGAAGAAAACACAACCAAAAAACCCACCCCTACACCTAAAGCCAGAACCCAGTTTGATTTTCCAGTCAAACTGAGCAAACAAGGCAAAGATATGCTTAATAATCCCAACAAATAATTCCAACATTTCTGTTCAAATTGATAGCTACTGAAGGAATACTTTGTCTTGGCCAGTTGCCTTGATGCTGTTGTCTTTATTCTCACCCTGTTTATTCAAAGACCCAAAAAGCCCAAAGGTCTCTCTAGCACCACATAGGATGGCAAATGCAGTTCCCTAGACTTTCCTGGTTCTTTTTGTTCCTGTCCTCACAGGACACCAAACTGTTACCATATAATCAGAAAACATCAGAAACAAAGAAGTGTTCACATCTGGCACCAAGATGCTGATAAAAAAAAACCCCTCTACAACTCATAGGCTAGAATATCTTCAATTCTTTGAGTAGTGGAAGTTATTCTTACCTCCTTTCTAGGCCACCTCTGTCTAAAATGACTGTAAAAATACAGGTTTCATTCAAATAATCATAGAATCACTTGGGTTGAGGGGACAAGTTCCAACCCCTGGAGAGGGACACCTTCCACCAGCCCAGGCTGCTCAGAGCCCCATCCAACCTGGCCTGGGACACTGCCAGGGATGGGGCAGCCACAGCTTCTCTGGGCAACCTGTGCCAGGGCCTGCCCACCCTCACAGGGAAGGATTTCTCCCTGATATCCAACCTAAACCTGCTCTCTGTCAGTTTGAAGCCATTGCCCATGTCCTGTCACTCCAGGCCCTTGGAAATAGTCTCTCTCCACCTTCCTTGTGGGCTCCCTTCAGGTCCTGGAAAGCCAGGATCAGGTCACCAACCCTGTTATTTCCTCTCAAAGGCACCAATTACAAAAACACCTCATTGTGCACCCAAGTCAGACAGATTCAAGTTCTACTCACCGCTGGCAGGGCAAAGAAAGAGATGGCAAACACCGAAAAACAGGAAGCTATTGTCTTCCCAATCCACGTCTGGGGAACTTTGTCTCCATAACCAATTGTGGTGACAGTCACCTAGGCCAGAAACAAACACCTCTTTCAGCGCCACAGGGTACACCTTTTTTCTCCAAAAAGCAGGGGAAAAAAGAGAGAAAGGGGAGATAAATGAGAGAAGTATCAGGAGATAGGTATGAATGAGCAGTTTTGGGATATGGGGGTACTCTAAACATCACATTTATCCTGGTTTTACACTCTCCAGCAGACATTCACAGTTGACCCCTGTTTTGGAGGCACAACAGTTAAGCTAAAACCACCTCTTGGAGGAAGATGCTGAGTTTAAGTAGAGCCCCTGGGCATGGCTGGAGGCCACTGGTGATGCTGGCCAGGGTCATTAGGGCAATTAGTGCCCTCGGGGCCTCAACAACACCCCTGTGTCATTAACCACAAGCTTACACAGATCTGCAGGGACTCGCTGAAGAAGGACTGAATCACTGTGGGGGTGACAGCCCACCCCTGGAAAACCACACAGGCAGGAGGACCTGAGCAGGATGGAGGTTTTGGGCTCACCCTGATAAACCAGGAAAGAAGAGAACTCATTATGAGCCCAGTGGACAGTAAAGAGCTGCTGCTGCCATAAAACAGCGTGAGAAATGCTGCTTGCAGTCCCTGAGAAGTGAAAGGCTTCTGGTGAGGAAAGGAAGAATTCTGTCACCAGCACTATCCGCTGGGGAGGACTTTAAATAGAAAAAATGCACTCCTATTTGGGAGCCCCAGCCCTAAACCTAGTCCCCCTCCCTTCATTTTTGCCTTGAATGGTAGCAGAAATACAGCCAAAACAGACTTCAAAGAATATGTAAATTTACAGTGACTACAATAGAGGCTGCCTTTTATGGAAAAATTTGCTGACAAATGCTTAGATATTATGCAAAAATAGGCTTCTCAGAAGAAGCTATCAAGCAATAAAAGCATAAGAATACACTTCCTCCTCCTCTCAGAGCAGTTCTACAGAGAGCTGGAAAAAAGATTTTCAGGGGGAAAAAAATAACCAATTACTACCAAACTTATTTTTTCCAAGTTCAAAAAAAAGTTAGGCTTGTGTTTATTCATCTTAAATTTCTCCCTTGATGAAGTCCACTTTGTAGAATCTACGCCTTTGAATGAATTTTGTTATTTTGAACTGTACACTGCTCTCAGCAGGAACTCTGTCTTGCCAGGTGTTTGTCCAGATTTAATGTGGCCTCTGAAGTGACTCAGGTGCTCTGTACCACCAGCAGTACAAACAGCTGAGCTTGCCAGTCCCCAAAATTAAACCAGACTCTCCCAAAATCCAGCTTTGAAATGCAGTATGTGTTAGTGGGCAGTGGAGGAAGCTAAAGCAGTGTTTCTTTAACAGCACTTCAGCTCCTCAGTGCACCCAGATGACCCCTTAAAGCCTGTGATTTTTCCTTCCTTTTCCTCTCTTTTTTTTTTTTTCTTATGAAAGGCTTCTTGGTTTTTTGTGGGTGGTTTGTTTGGTTTGAGTTTGTTGGGGTTTCTTTTTTCCCTTTTTCTTTTTTTTTCTGTCTTTTCCAGCACTCAGGGCTTAAAAACAAACTGCAGCAATGCTGAGCTGCCTTAGTGTTACTATGGAAGACAGCATGAAAGCTGGAACCACAGAAAAGATGAATTTTCCATCTCTACAGCAAGCATTTGGCTGGCAGATTCCTGCAGGTGCCTGAACTTGCCTCAGAAAGTTTTTCCCTGGCTACCTTAAGAGGATGCCTTCTTGGTAATCTAATTAGTACACAGAATACAGAAAGGATTATAAATAATGTAATTCTCTGGATTTGTTAACCACAACAGATTTTTTTTTTCCTGCTTGTACATCCAGAAGTTATTAGTATGTCTGAGAAGAGAATACTGAATATCTGGTTTGGTTTTTTTTTTTTGAAAATGACACCTTCACAACACAGATTTATGGAGGCACATTCTGGCTGCTGTGCCCATGCTCTCACACAGGCTCTGAAAATATTTCTGTACACTTCAAAAAGGGAAAAAACTCCAATTCAGTAGAAGTCAGCAGAGCTGCCCAGATGCTTTAAGACGGGCAGGTGTCCTGAAGCGTGAAGAGTCAGAACTGCACACCTCTAAAAAAAACCCATCCTAAATATAAAGGGGTTCAAACTGCTACCTCTGGCATGAAAATTTACTGCTGGAAATTCTGAGCAACTGATCCTGAGTAGCTCTGCCAGTTAACACCAATTTACCGGAGAAACTATTTAATTCAAATTCAGTGGTACAGAACGGGTGAGTTTTTTAGCAAGACCAGAAAGTGTTACCAGCAGCAAGAGGCAGGCGTGGCAGGGCCAACAGAGGAGAAGATTTACACAGTTTTTCTTCTTTCCTCAAGGAAAAGTACTCAGAAAGGACAGGAAAACTGCTGTGACAGGGGTTGCAATTCTGGCAGCCTGACCACGCTGTTAGAAATGCTGTTGTTGCATGTGTTGTACATGTTGTAACTTCTGCAAGTGGCTTCACGTAAAACACAACAGGTCTTCGATATTTTAGTGCAGTTTAACCCCTTTGCCTGCCAAATCTGGGTGAAACAACTTTGCCTTGAACTGAAGCAGGTGAATGAATGTAGTCAGCATCTCATTCCAACTCCCCTTCGTTCTTTATTTTCCCTTTTCTTCCCATTTAAACCTTTCAGGTCACTTGTATCAAGTTCAGCAAGCTTGCACTTTCTACTCAAAGCAAAATATTCCCCATAACACACTCTGTGGTTTTTGTCAGACACACAAGGCTTTCAAATACTTGCTAAAGAGATTTTTGGTTTGGTTTGGTTTTTTTTTCTTACGGTTTAGTTTTGAAAGGCAAAAGCGAAATCAAATTTCACTCCACATCTGTGTTTCTACGCCACAGAAGGTTTGAAAAGAAAAAGAAAACTGATTCACTTTGTCCTTTGTCGCTGTTCCCAGCTGTGAACTGCACCTGCACCGTGACTCACTGAATGCTGAGGAGGCCTGAGTGCCTGAAAAGCTCAACCAACAATCTGAACAGTGTTCTCCGTGTGCCTCTCGCAGCCAGAGAGAGAGAGGAGCTGATTTTATCTTGCTCTTAACACAAAACGAGAGAAAGTTTTGGAAAACAGCAACAAAACCCGTTGAGCACTTTGAAACACGGATTCCAAGTCATCTACCTCAGCAAAGTAATAAACCAGGTTTTAAACTTGTCTGTTGGTCTTCGTAACTGAATTCCTTTAATATTCCCAAAGTTCAGAATTCTCTTGTATGAACACATCCTGGCTTTTTTGACCTTATTCTTTTTTTTTTTTCTTTTTTTTTTCACTCTTTACTCAAATCAGTGCTGTAGTTTCTAGGATTTGAAGCTATTTTGTAATCCATAGCTAAGTATTCACTCATAAAGCAAGCTCTGGATAACTAGAGCTTAAAACAAAACAAAACAAAACTGAAAAACCAACCAACCAAACACAAACCAAAACAAATCAAACAAACCAAACCAAAACAAAACAAAACAAACCCACAAAAAAACTACAAACAGAAACCAAAAAGGAAGGAAAGGAAGGTAAAAAAAGCGCACTGGGTCCACATGGATGTTTTATTAATGCAGGAATAACCCATGTGTGAATATACATGGACAGAACTGGATGCTAAAAGTGAGAGCTAGTTCCCAAACCCATTGCTGGAAATCCTTTTTTTTTTTTTCCCCCCACTATATCTTGTTTCCCTCAGTTTGGTAAGTTCTCCTCCCTCTCCCATAATTTAATTATATGTATGACATTCTTTCTTATGTCCTTCTTAAAAGGCTGTTGAGCTTCCCTATGGAAATACATTCTGCAAAAAAAGAAAGACCAGATTTTTTTTTTTTTAAATACCACAACTTAACAGAAAACCTTATGCATACAGATTTGACTGGTAAGGACTTACCACGCCCCACCAAAGGGCATCAGCGTAGCTGGAGAAACCTGTCTTGCCATCTTCATCAACCGCATCCTTCTCAGCCAGATAAACAAAATAGGATGAAAAAATCAACCCCAAGAATCCAATGTACAGCGTGGTTATGAGCTCCTGTCAAAAGAGAAAGCAAACAAGCACATAAGGTTTGTATATTGTGTATTCTGTCATTGTAAAACATTGTAAATATCTGTGGGGGTTTTTTTTTGCATCACAGTAGAAAAATTAATGTGTTATATTTCAGGTATAAAATTTGCCTCCGGTGAAACAGGTAGTACAGTGACTTGTTTTCTATTCATACCAGCCTAGAGAGTTCCAAAAGTCGTCATTAATAATATGAGATCATTTGGGCAGCTAAATGTAGAGTGGGAAATCTCTCCTAATTATGCCTTGTGAATGGAAATCATTCCACTTAACTGTCCACTCAAAACACCAAATCTCTCAACATTTTTAAAACAGCAAAACAGCTTTAGAAATGCGTTTTCTGAACAGAACACTGAAGTAACTGTGAAGGAACAACAACCATGTCACGTGATTGTGGGCACATCCAAGCAATGCACTTGTGTACCTGATGTTCAGATTGCTTAAGATTAAATACTGATGCCTCAACACTTTATTGTTAAGATAAGAGAAATACCAGTACCTGGTTATGAGGCAAAAAACCCTTACTTTAAGGAATAGTTTACATGCATCATTCCTATATTTTCTCTGCACATATTTAGCCATCCCTTTTTTATGAAACATTGTTGTACTACGTCTTCATCAGCATCAGCATCTTCCTTAAGCTCTCCATTTCTCTTTCCTTGCACCCAAACCAATCAGGAAATTGAAATACTTGCATAAGATGAAGTTAAAATTGAAACCTGTCTAAGAAGGATTACCTCTACTTCTAAAGTATGGCAGGTTTTCAAACATTTCCTGCAATACTCTACCCCTGTTTCTTAAACTGTTTGTGACAGAAGGTTCAGTTTTATCATCAAACTTCCTTCAGATTTTCTTTTTTATTTTTTTTTTTCCTTTTCGCTTCCTTGTAAGAGCTTTCTGGGAAAAAGGAAATGTAGATACACTTCCTTCTCCTAAGCACTAATTAAAAATCAAGGTTCAGCAAGTCTTTAAGTGAGCTTGGCACAAAGCAAAATAGGTGGGTTTTCCTCCAATCATTTAATAATGACCTAAATAATGAATTTTGACAGCATTTAGTTTTGATGATCCTTTCAAAGTGGCGGAATTATCAACAGGACTACTCACTTATTTCACCACTGGTACCCCTCAGCTCCAGCACTATTCATCTAAAGACTGAATTCTTTTTAAGTGAAGGCCAGATGAAAGTATAATTGCCTTAGACTTTTTCTAAATGTCACCACTCCGGGCTGCATGTGTATAGGGAGACAAAGTAACATGTGCCTGTATTTAATTATAAGAATAATGACAGCAATCTCACACATACTGCATTTAATAAGTAATAAAATAAAATAAATTTGAATTTTGAGAGAGTTGAAAACTTAGACAGATCTATATTTTCAATTACAATAAGGACCACACAACATAAAGTTCAACACTTGGGAAAAATACAAGGAAACTCCAAATCTCAACTCATCGGTAACCCCCTCCCAAAAGCAGTAGAAGATCTCACAAAACAAGATGAGTAATGAGAAAAAGCAAGCGAGAGGCTTCAAAGCAGAAGCCAGATTGGCTAATTCAGATTTTGCAGTAAGCTGCATGATTTCTCCACGTCTTTCCATCACCACACACCATCTTGAATAATGTTTCGTTGCTTTTGGCCAGAAATCCTCCTATAAGCTCAACCTGCTGAAAATAAAAGAGCCAAACCAGGCCTGAGTGAGCTAATAAAGCTGTATGTAAAATTCCAAAACACATGGAAATCATTGGTGACAACTTCACCACGCTCTTCTGGGCCCACAGAGGTACAAATGCTCGCTATTTTCACAGGTCACAAAAAAACGTGGATTTATTTTCTCACATTGTTTAATGGTTATGGGCCCCATTTTTTTTCTGAAAGAGCATCTAACTCAAAAAATAGACGAGGGCTTTGTACTCTGCCAGCAATGAAAAAGCAGCTGAGGTGTTTTTGTTTTGGTTTGGGTTTGTGTTGGTTCTTTTTAAACAAAAATTTCTTTCAGGGACTGGACAGGAATAAAGGTTCCATTTTCCCTTCTGTTTGGTACTGTGCTGGAGTTTCAGCTGCACTTGTCCAATGTCAATACAGAACTGTGTGTTTGGTATTTTTTTTATTAATGTGTTAGTGGGTGATCTGCTTGGACAAGTACTAGAGATCTGTGGAGTTTTATTTATCATCATAATCACTTCTTTGGGGTAGCAGGATTTCAGGTGCATTTACTCATAAATGCACTTCTCCAAGGATTTTTTTTTTCCCCCCTTTTAAATCATTGAACTTATTTATGCTCGTGACATTTAAAGATTTAAGTGTCGTATTTTGGAGATAGTATTTCCTGATTCTTGACCAAAAACTCTGAACACCCACAGGGAAGAATTTTCTCCAACACCTCTGTAAAAGCAAATGTTGAGAAAGTGTATTTGGATATCAGCTCTGCCCTAGCTTGATATCCAGGCAATGTGAGCATAATAAATGGAGACCACACAGACTTGGAGCATTAAAAGTCATCCTGTTGTAGAGTATGAAAGGAGGCTTTATGCTGGAGCACTTTGGTGTGCATCACTGCTGCACAGCCATGGGGACACAACATTTCCCACAGTTCTAGAGGGGGGACAAAAAATAGTAAAGGGAAGACAATTGAATTGTGGTATTAATCACTCGGGTTAAGCACCTCCCAATCTCTGTCTCAGAATTAAAGTTTTCTAAATGGAAAATTTAAAAACTGTCTGTGTGAAAATCTGTAGCTGTCAGTCAGTACCTGGGGGACAAATCTACACTCCTAAAGCATGAGTTAACCACCCCTGGAAGTCTCCACCCTGCACAGCGTGGTATGACATGCAAAATTAAAAGGCTGATGCTGTAGGTTTCTGTTATATTGATAAAGCTAAGCAGGTTAAAGAGATTCCACAAAGACTCAAAAAGGTGCCTTCAACTGGCATTTTTTTAAAGTCTGCAGGAAAACTTCTAAGTTTTTCTTGCTTAATGAACTTTTATGAAGAACAATTGTTTCAAAGCTTTAACAGACACATAGCTACTTATGGCCAAGTTTACCTCTGAGACTGCACCCTGAAGAAAGCAACTTTTCTTGCATATTATCATAACATAGTTCATATTTATAGAATGCATTAGAAAACTCCTTATTCAGGCAGAGAAAATAGAATTATTTAAATAATTGACTTTTCCACAGTGCAACCAAGAAGGAGTACATCTTCCATGAAGCCAGTGGGCAATATCTGCAATATAAAAGGCAGCCCACATAGCTGCATTTAATAAATTATATTAAAGGATACCATCAAAGAGTACAGCAGTTCATTTCCAAAAAAGAAAAAACAAACCAACCCAAACCTGATGCTTATACCCTGTTATCCACTGTCCTGAATAGTTAAGAATAGTTTCCCATTTTAAAAACAGAAGGAAACACATGATGGACTTTAAAAGTATTTAAAGGAAGTTCGTTTAAACCAGACCACGATTTGAAAGTCCACAAAAGGAATTTACTGAAGTAAACAAAATGCTGGGGGATCCTAAAAGGTCAAGTACCTGACGGTGGATGAAAACAACCGATCCCAAAAGTCTCCAGGTGCCCCCCTGTCGATCCACGTGGAGCATGCGAAGTATCTGCAGAAATCGGATGCCCCTGCAAGAAAAATAGGGCATTAAATAAAAAATACTGCTCTGTCTATCCACATAGTTTGTATGATTCTGATTGTCAAATGCCTCCTTCCCAAGGAAAACCAGTGCTTCAAGCTTTTCTAACACAAGTAGGAGCAAACTGTTTTCTCTATTTGCCAAAAGCAGAACATGAATCAAAGGTGGTATCACTGAAGTCCTTGTTGTGTGAGCTACAGAAATAATCCAGTTGGAAATGGATACAGTCCTATGTCCTTTTAGGACAATAAATGAATCATAAACTCCATATATATATTTTCAAGTAAAGAAAAATAAATGTCCATATGGTTCCTCAGTGTAATGACAAGGCTACCAAATATGTGAGCACAAACAGACTTACACAATGCAATTGCTCATGTCAGGAGGGGAGAGATCCACATGTCAATCCCCTGTACAGTTATCAGACACAGCTCAGGATGCCAGGATCAGGTCTTGATTTTCCTGCCTTTTGGATCCAAGCTGGTCACAGCTGTGTTACTGCCCAGTGCTGGCAGGCATGGCACAGGCTGGCAGTTTTACAAATGAAGGTTGAAAAAACATGAAACAAAGAACAAGAAAATCCAGATAGCCCCCAAACATGCACAGCGCATTTCCACTAAAAAGAGAAGAGGAATTTGTTGGAATTAAGACCTCTTTTATCAATTTGGTGACCTTGAAACCGCGAGAAGGTTTTCAGAAAAGTTCTTCTTATGCTTCTAGTTAAATTCAACGAAACTGCTGGAATTTTCACATTCACCCTCCTCTTTTCCTGTACAAGCTGATGAATCACATTCACTTTGCTCATGTGAGTCTTTATTATCACGTAACGATTCGTGTTCTGTGGTAAGAGTCACCTTCAAAATGCTTCATACCTGTAGTTCCCTGCAGAGTTTGTTTACACAGCTGGAGAGTTTAGACAGTACTGTACATTCTCACTTCCCAGTGATCAGACTGCACTGGAAATCAGAGGCCTGTGACAGAACAGGCAGTGCGTCCTGCAAGTCAAGTTAGAAGGAGCGGGGAGTTCACCTACTCTGCTTATCATTCTTCTCTTCTATTTACCCACTTTTGCTCCCAAAACAAGCTCGCAGTGCTTGCTGCAAGCTGAACAAACACTGCAGACATCAAATGTTTCTGGTTCATGTGCAGTGTGAGTTGCTTGTGCCAAACAAATCCACCAAAGCATAATTACTCTTTAAACAAAGTAATTACTCATACTCAAAAAAGTACCGACTTAAGTGCTGTCTGGATTACTTCTTAAATAAACTGATGTTCTGTAATACTCTCTTGTCTCAGAAGGAGAGCTGTTTGATGTTTTACATAGGACATAACATTTAATTTTTTTTCCATTTGGCTTCAGCATTCCCACCATCTTTCATATGCCTTGTTTCTGTACCCTTGTTGCCCAGCAGTGATCGAGCACAAAAGCATACAGTCCTCCACTGCCCAGTGTTTCAACAGAATAACTGTTCCTACGTTGGGAAAATCAGAAATACATCTAATTCAAAAATTAGGAAATCAGATATACACCCGATGGTAACATCTGTGGTACTGAAGAGCTGCATCACCAGAAGAACATACCTTATTGCAGAGGTAGCAAACACCTGCCCATTAGATCCTATGCTCAGAACAATAATTGAGGCCACAACCACAATGAGATCTGTTAAAAAAAAAAAAAAAGTATTAATTTTTAGATCTCAGCACTGAAATACACAAAAAATATAGACTGAGGAAAAAGCTTTAAAAAAAAAAAGGCTTTTGATTTACGAGGAAAAGTAAGAGTTTGCTTCACTCAGTAATGAAATGCATCAAGTCAAGTATCATGCATACACTTGGTTTAAAAATTGTGTCAAAGTTGTAAAGCCAAGCTTTCAAAGTTTAGGGAACTGTCAGAACAAAGGTTTGCTGGAAAAAAAGAAATCAAAACAAACAAAGTTGTTGGTTTACTTTGTGCTACAGTCTTTATTTGCATGAAAAAATAATTGTTTCCAGAGTTCCTTGTTTTTTGTTTCCACGACTGCACAGTTTACACAGTTCCAGCACCATACAATGCACATGATGGATTGTGTTCACGGTGCCAGCATCCTTTATTTTCTCTTATCCTAGTTCAGTGACCATGTCTTGTTTCTTTTAATGACTGAAGCTTACTCTAACATTATTCTGAGAAGACATTTTTCTTATTTCCTCATGGGCATTTCTGTGGTAAACCCCTTTAGAGCATCAAAATTCAAATTCTAACCAGAAACTACAGGGCAGTATCATAAATGGGCAGCAAATGCAGACAGAAAGAGGAAAAGTTCGGTTAAATTTCCCTTGCCAGCTTCAAACAGGCAGCACTTTATTCTTCAGAGCACTCAACGTTATGGAGCACTTAAAAAAAAAAAAAAAAAAAAACCAACAAAAACCAAAAAACCAAAAACCAGCGCCTGCTGACCTCACTCGCAGCTGTGAGAGCTCAGAACCTCCGTAACCCAACTTCAAAGCCTTCCCTTGGACACCCAGCAAACGAGGCACACTTGTGCAAACTGCTCCAGCTGACTGCCACGGAGTTTCCGTGCCCTGCCTGGGCAAGAGGCAGGACAGGGGCCAACTGGAGAGGCGGCAGCAGCAGCTTCCTTTGAAAAGGTTAACTTGTTTTTTCCTCTCCTTGAAACCTCCTCCTGCCTCGCTCACAACCGTGTAAGTGGTTGCTGCAACAAATACTGTGGAAGTTCTACAGCCAACAGCATCCCTCACTCCCTGACTGGGACGGATTTCCAGTATCGGTCTGGTTTTTCTGCTGTAAAAGCTGGAATCCTCCCCAAATGATAGCACTTTAAGGAGCGTGCAACGATAATTGTACACTTATGAAAATGAAATAAATAAAGGGAGGGATGAGGGTACAAAAGAGCCTCCATTTGGGGATAATCTTAATTTCCGAATGCCCAGCTTTCCGAATTTTTCACGCTATTCCTCATTAGGTATATGTGTGAACGTATGTTTGTAAATATCAGAATTTAGGGCGGGTTTTCCTGCCATCATGTCATAATAACAGATCTTTGCTCTTAAGCAAATGATGCACCTGTGTCCTCACTAAATTATCAGAAATATACATACTGATCCTATGACCAGCACTGAAGGGGGAGAAGACTGACTCTTAGGAAATGAGTTTCAATCAGGTAGTGAGAATAAAACTGATTTTTCATTTGCTCTTTCTACTTTTCTGAAAGCGTTCTACGTGGTAGAGATATTTCTGTTCTTTTATCCCTGCTTCTTCTCTGCTCCTGTTTCTCATTTTAGTTTCCAATCTTTAGGCTTCTCTCACTAATCTCAGTTTACTGGTCCAAATAGTCCTATTTTACAGTCTAGATCGTCAGCACAGCCTTCTGTTCTTTCACTGCCACCTTTCAATCCCATCTATTTTCAGCCCCTGCTGTTTTTCCTTCAATCTCCTGATGGTTTTTCAGTCTCTTTAAACGTTCTTCTCCCAAACCTTTACATCCCTCATCCACTCTCCTGGCATTGTACTGAGCCTGTATTTCCCAGCTCATTCCTTCTGCCTCAGCATTCGAGCCTGGTATTTTCCATGTGCCCTGGGCAGATTCAGGAAGAGCACTATAAAACCAAAACCAACAGATTTTCCACTTCCAGCCCCAGCCCTGCTGCTCCAAGAAACCTGAAATTTGAATTGTGCAGGCTCACTGCAGTTTCAGTCTCTCAGGAATATAAGGGCATTCTCTAGCAGGGTGTTTGAAGCACAAACAAGCTACCAAATTTTCAGGGCCTTGTTAGTCAGTTTGGATTTTCAGTGATATTAAAAAAAGCTATTTTGTCATTAAATTTCAAGTGTGGAAGTGCTAGTGTTTCTCCATAAGAACCTGTCAGAATTGCCTTTCCCAGGAACAACTTACACATCCTGCATGAAATGTCTCTACAAGACCCAAACTGAAGCAGACACTGGCACGGAAAACATCAGCAGAAAGAGCCAACATTTGTTTAAATAACTTTCTCAACTCTAACTCTAACTAGCACTGGTATTTAGAATAGCATCACACTTGTATTTATGGCAGTTCTTAAAAACTGAAGTGTCAGGAAGTTCGGTAATTTAAAAAAAAAAAACAAAACAAAACAACTAAATTCTGGTAATTTATAAACAGCAATATGTGGATATCCTTCTTGAAGTTTCTACCTACTTACATGAAGTTTCTACCTACAGACCAGCAGGCATTAATATAAAAGATCAGCTTGCCAGTATTGTTTGGTTATACATAAACTTCAGTCACATAACACCTCTACTGTAGCTTACCCGAGTATTGCTTTTTATTTGAGTAAATTTCTGATGTGCCTCGAATGTTTTCAGAAGTTTATTCTGTAATGTGCAATTCTCAGCTTTTTCGTTAGAAGCAATTAATAATTTTTAAATTTAAAACAGTAAGAATATTTGTATTTTATTGATGTATTTTATTACAGAATGTAAAGAGTCCTCAGCTTAAAGGAGAGTCCTTGGTGGTCTGAAGATAATATGATGTCCACAAGGACTTAAATTATACAGACTATTTGAACATATTTGAGTTTGATTTACATCACCTTTTTTTTTTTTTTTTGCTGAATTTTTTTGGTCTATCAGCCTTTCCTGAATTATAATGATAACTGGAGCTTTACATACCAGATGCTGCTGCTTTTTCAGAGCTGTACACACAACCAATTAAAGGTGCTTATAAATAAAGTTCTACTGTGCTTTACTTAAGGACAATGTGAGATGGTCACACGAGTCTCTACACCAGTAACTTTTGTCCCCCTTACATCTTTCGAACTGCATCCTGTCAAAACCAGGAGAAACAAAAGGTAATGATAGAATTGTCTTTTCTCACATACGTGTCATCACCTGCAATCTGTCTGCAAAGAAGAGAAAAATCAGGCTAACTTTAGAACATCTGCCTAAGAAATAAAAAATGGGGAAAAAAAAAAAAGAAAAAAGGTTTACAAGGTAGGGAAGTTGCATCATTTTCCATTGCACCTAAAATGTTAAAATAACATTCAAGAAATAATGTGTCCTATCTTAACATTCTCCTTTCCCAGCTACAGAAGTTGCACGTTAACATACTATTTTATGCAGCATAGGACTCAATAATATTTTAAAAGTTTATAGAAGAAAGCAACATTTAGGCTTGACTGCTAAATCTCCTTTAAGTAATAAGCACCAAAGTAATTTTTATTTACAATTAGAGACAGAAGGAAAGATAATGGAAGAAATTAAATTCAAAATTGAACTTTCTAAGAATTAATCCAAATTTTAATGTGAACAAAAACCCATAGAAAAAAAAAATCTCCCTGCTGTCAAAGAAATTTCAGTGGAATTTTTCTGATTTTGAAATACAGACTTTTGTATTAATGCAGAAGTAAAATGAATACCTTATTTTTACATTCTGTTCCAACCTTTAATTTCTTTCTCTAGTGTTTGTACTTTATTCATGCTGATTTGAAGATTATAGGATGAGTCAGGATGATTCTTGTCCCTCAGTAACCCAAAAGTGTGTACAGCAGCTCCTCACATTATTCATTACTCATATCTAGATATATAATAGAATATCTTGTTTCCTGAGTTGTTCCACTGTCCCACAGTGTCACAGATGGTTAAGGAAAAAATCAGCTCATTTTCTCCTCTTTTACACTGTCTTTGTGCTCTATTTAAAACTCAATGAGTTGATGCTTGACGAATGTAAAATTTGCAGCTCTGTATAATGGACTCCGTGATTTTATGGTCTATTATAATTTTGTCCAAACACCATCACTTTTTTATTAATCCCAGGTTCTATTAGTCACCTCTCCTGAAATCTCTCCTGCTCCAGAAATTCTACTTAACAACAGTCCCTCAAACCACCTAAAATTGTTTAATTTTACTGCTACCCAATAAAATTTTTCCAGAGTCCTGCTTTTCCCACTTCCACGTTTTTTCTCCATTTACACTCACCTTTGTGCTTGCTTTCTACAGGAGACCTAAAGGAGGATTTTGGGTCCAAAATTTTACCAATTTTCTCCAATTAAACAAAGAGATTTAGTCATTTCTTCACTTATAATTCTGCCTTTTTAAGGTTGATCTCTGCCCGTGTCTCACGGTCCTATTTTAAATGTTCAGTTCTAGAAAGCCAAAAGCAGAAATAATTGCACAGGTTCACAGAGCAGATAAATGCAGGAGGAACAGACACAGCTCTGACATCTTTAAAAAAAAAAGAAAAAAAGGGGGAGGAAAAAAGAGTTTAAATCTTACCAATAATCGATATGGGCTTGCGGGCAAAGCGGATCCTTCCCTGGAAGCCGACGTATTTACTCCTGCAGCCTGCAGACCACAACCTGACCAAATACTCAGCACCAAAGAACACAACCAGCACTATTTCCTATCAGAATTAAAAGGACAAGATATCAGAGGTTTTTTCTTTTTCATTAGATTACAGTTTGCACATCTAATTTTTTCCTGTGACTGACACAAATAATTTCGTTGAGATGAACGGTGCAATAAAAAGGATTGTGCCTAAGATGTCTGATTTTTATATGCATATGCCAGCTAGGACATAAAAGGGAGATATAATTTGTTCCTGAATGTGATTTGCATGAGCAAATGGATGGTTTCATTCCATCAGTCTATCACAGGGAAAATCACGATTTTCTTCTTCTTTTGTTTCTTTCGAAAACTTAATTTTTTTTTAAAAAAAGAATGGAGGGCAGCTGCACAGCATATCATTCCTAAACCTAACAAGTATATGAAACATTTCTAGATCATGAAAAATAATTTATGAACATAAAAATCAAAAAGTGCAATTTCAATGTTTGTTGGAACTGGGTGCAAGCTGTGGGCTCCTGGTGGGTCTCTTTGTTCCTGAGAACCTGAACTTCCCCCAGGATGGAATCCCACCCTCTCCTCCTTAACCTGGAGTGCTCTGCTGTGGATCTGGGTGGTGCCAGAGCATGGAAAATACAGCACGGAAAATACACAAATTACCTATATTTTAGTATTGTTTCCCTCTCCAGCACTGCATTGTAAAGCACTTGTGCACAACCAAGAATAAGATACTTGAAATACTTCTAAAGAAAGCAGATTAGTAAAGATCAACCACCTGGACAGATTTGTTGAGATCTTTGTTCCTTCCTTCCTTCCTTCCTTCCTTCCTTGTTTCCCTCCACCATTTCAACATACCAGCACAGCCAAAATACAACTTCTAGGCTTTGTTCCAACCCAAACTGCATCCAGTAACCCAGAGCCACCAAACACCTACTACATAATTTACAGCTTCGGAAAATATTTGTATTTTAGCTTAAACAAGCGTGTAACCTGCACCTGGGGAATTCTAAAGCACCCAAAGAGTGAACACACTTAAATCACAATTTTCACTGAATAACAAGACCAACATGTCTTTAAAGCTGCCATTGTGGATGGCTGAAAAGAGAGCAAAATATTTCAAAGCTGAAAAACAGATAAGAAAACCTCTAAACTTATATGCAAAAACTTCATGCCAGTTTGGATTTTTAACAAAGCTAGGTTCACATTTCTGTATTCACTTCTGCCTCCTTGTTTGGCCTGGAATGAGAACCAAGAAAATATGCACAGTTTTCCTCTGCTTTCATGGCACTTTCAGCCTGGCTAAACCAAGGACTGGTATAAAGTTAAGAAAGTTTACAGCACAGTTTCCAGGCCGAAGCACAAGAAAATACACAACAAATCAACTCCCCAAGCTTGATTTTTTTTTTTTTAATTAATGTATTATCTTGAGCATCCAGAAATAATTCTTCTAGGTTTGTGTTCTGTCTGAAATCTGAATGCAAATATTTATTCAAGCATAATAGTGAGAGCAAAACCCAAGAACAATCTGCAAAGGAAAACAATTCTTACATTTCTGGAATCTTGCAAAATGCTCTCCCACTTATTAAACTATGTTTTCTAGCAGGTTCCTGGTATCATCACTGAGTAGCATTTGTTTGCAAGTCACTTATCAGGGATCTCTTATTTCCAGCAAAGGGAGCAGGACATTTTATGGCAGTGGAAGAATCATTTTTACAGGTCTGTGTATTGGAATTACTGAGTCAGGTAAAAAAAAAGTGTGGAAAGGAGACAAGCAGGTGAGTGCTGAGGAAGCAAAGACTTCTTAGACTTAGGTTATTCCTGGATGATCTTTGGAGGGTACTTTTGAAAGCTGAAATTAAAATTTATTTTACTCTCAAGGCAAATGTCAGAACCTGCGATTTAATTTCATCTGCCAACAGGATCACATCCTGGTTATATCCAGGAAACCCTACTGAAGTAAATGAAGTTACACAGTTAATGGAAGGAAAAAGAAATTGTGGACCAGGAGGAGGAAAAGGAGGAATTTGCATCTTCAAGAAATTTGAAATTAATTACTGATCTCAGTTCATTTTTTCTCAGACAGGTGTCCACACACCAAAACCACAGCCATTAACACATTTGTTGGCAGCCTCAGACAGGCCAAAGATCAAAAAAAGCATGGAAACTGGACAAACATCAGAGCTCTATAGGTGGTCCCTGAAAAAAAAAAAAAAAACAAACCAGGAAGATTATGAAACTTCCACTCTTGTTTTGTGTGCTCCTGATGTAAGATAGGAGACATCCATTTCCAGGGCTGTCAAGGCTGATCATCTTCACCTCACTAAACTCACCTTTTAAAAAGAGCCCTAACCTGCCTCTTTTTCCTCTTCTACACATAAACACTTTTCAGAACCTTAAATTTATTGCCTCATATTTACCTTCTGGTAAAGAAAAACAAACAAACAAACAAACAAACCAGCAGTTTTCTGGAAAGTCAGAAAAAAGCACTTAATCTCACTGGAATGACAATAAATGATGGTGGAGGACTTGAGGACAAAACATGAACCAGATTAAAATCTGCAAAAATACCTCTGCAAATTAAATTTACACCCGTTTGTATGTTTGAGATCTTCCTTTAGCTTTCTGAAATTTTCCAGAACCCTTGCTTCTGAAATGGGATTAGACTCACAAGGATCCCACAGAATCTTTTCATTTGGGCTCTCAGCATTATTTTTCCTCTTCTCCTGGAAATGGTCAAGGAATAAACACATGATGAAGGATTCTCAGCAGATTTCATAAACCTGGAAAGCCATTTGGCATCAGCACAAAGCCAGGGATGAACTCCTCGAATGAAACCAAACATTAGGAACAGATCATTACCTCCGAAAAATAAGAGGCACGTCAGATTTGATCAAAATAGAGCTCATAAACACCCTTGGCTGCTCCACCTTGCAATCAGCTTTGAGTGTCAGCCTTCCACTTTTCTCAGCAACCCTTGTCTGAACTCCTGGCAGGAGAGGAAGGGTATAAAAAGCTGGGTCTCCTTTGAGCAGAACAGCTGCCATAAACTGTCAGAACATTTGACATGACTACCTGAATGACCCTGAGTCATTAGCAGCGTTCCATTATTCTGTGCTTCTACCTTTTGTCTGGAAAAAAGACCCAAAGCACACACCTATATAATATTCTTTGCCCAGTCAGGTGGAAGCCTTTAAATTATTATTATTTTTTTAATTATTATTATTTTTCTTAAGTCTAGTCACTGCATTAGTCTCCCCTCTGCCCAAATTAATCACCAAATAACACATAAACGTGTTTATGCTATTCTTGGGATAACTCCATTTTACTACTTTTATGAAAAATGGGAAAAAAACCCCACTGAACTTTAAGGAAAATACGCATGCAAATAACTTCCATCCGTATCTAATTCAAATAAGAAACTCGCCAACTTTTCCCCAAGAATGTCATTGATGACCAATTAAAAACAAAACAAAACAAAACAAAACACATTAGCACAGAAAATCAACATTTTCATGCAGGGGCGTGTTCAAACGAAACACACAGCCTGGAATTTACGCTATCTGCCAGTCTGGTTCTGGATAACTGCACTGGAGGAGCGGGAGAAGGGAAGTTGGGCAGGAGCGATTCAAGTGCACACATGAAAAAGGACGGGTATTTTCTCAGCTGCAGCTGGGTTTTAGGTGGAGAGCACACACACACAAGGCTCTCTTCACTTTTTTTTTTTTTTATTGGAATATTTAGGTGCTGGGGTAAAAGGAGGAAGTGGGATGGCTAAATGAACAGTGTGTGTGTGCTCACGGAGATCCAGTCAGGGAATGGCAGCTCCAAACAATGAAGCCTCAGAAGCAGGGCATAAAGGTTTAACAGTCCAAAATGTTTGCACACGTGTACTCGTGTCCAAAATTTAATCTGATAACCTGCCTTCGAGGTTTCCCAGTTCTTAGAGTTGAAAATGTCAGTTTAGCGACCTGTTTAGCTTAATAGCTACTCAAATACTAGGAAAATATATTTCTTACCATCATGCTAGCTCTTACAAAGATGACAGACATCCCATGTGAAAATATAATATCCAATATGTAGAAGAAAAAAGGCCAAATGCTGCTAAGTGTCCTGTAGTATCATCAGCTTACTCAGACTTACATCTTTCAGGTTAAACCAGTGCACTGAAGTTTTAGAAGTCTGTTGTTTAGATACAAATGGATTTCTTTGACATTTCTTTAAAAAAATGTTCCCATGCACACCTGATAAATGTGCTGAATTTGCTGACTTCATACAGGGGCTATCCTTATCTTTCAGTTTATCAGCATCTGCTGTTTCCTGTATGGAATGAAGCTGTACACCAGTGAGGGAAGCACATGGGACAACTTCCATTCAAATGAGCTGGGTGAGTCACAGAGAAGATTTTTTTTATTATTATTATTATTATTTCTATTTAAGCAGGCAACAATTTTTCTACAAAGAAAATTAACTACTGCATCAGCTCTTTTTGAGCAGGACTTTTTTCTCAGTTACCTAATTCTGAAAGATCCCACTAAGGCAAACATGATCAAATAGTGAATCCATAAGATTCAGTAAATAGTGAAGGGACCATCTCTGGCAGGAGGGGAAGGGTTTAGCTTTGCTCCTGAAGTGGATCTATCCAATGTGAATGTGGACTTCAGAACTGTAAATAATTATTTCCATGTTTCTTAACCTTTTGATTTGGGAGGGTGTCAACATTTCAAGGAGAGGAATTGAAAAAAATCCTGCATGTACCTCTCCACCTTCCTCTCACTCCCAAGAAAGAAAGGTTTTTTTTAGTCTCTTGGGCCACATTCTGAAACCACTTTGCACAGAGAACTCTACAAAGAGCCAAAGTGAATAGAATTTGACTGAGGGCATTATGAGTTGGCCCTTTGTTAATGTCTCATACTTACTGCACAGTGATTTCCATTTTAGACAGTTCAAAAGTACGCAGCCATCACCCAACACAACACGTTCTAAAGTGCATTAGGGCAACCCACAGCCTGGGGGTAATGCAACCCACAAGAATAATTGGTTTATAATTCACATCTAGAAGCTTGATGGTTACATTTGATTCTAGAAAGACAGTGGCAACTGAGCAAGATCACTCAGCAGACAACTTAAGCTTATGCAATGTTTTGAAAGTACTGTGGACTCATTTTTGTTTGGCTAGTATGTTTAATGTATGAAACAATATCCCATAACCATGTTAGTAATATAACATTCCTGATTTGTTTTCTCATCTTCCCACAGACCAACAAAAAGATGAGGAGGAAACGGGGATTCTCTTCCTCCTTTTGTCTCTCACATGTTTAGAGGAATAAAAGAACAGAGCAAAAGCCCTTGAGTCATGTCCTTATTTTTATTCTACACTCACACAGTCTGACTCTTCCACTGTTTACGAGAATCAGTGTTTTTTTTCTACTGGGGCAGTTTACCTGTCAGTGCCTTTAAGGGACCAGACACCTCATTAACACCTGCTTTTACACAGGCAACACACATTGCACTAATATCACAAAACAGCACTAAATACTATAGGACCTACTCTACGGGCCATAACCTGTAAAATATCCATTATCAGCAGGAAGAAATGATGGGGTGAGGCCAGCAGGGGTACCTGTGAACTTCATGTATTAGACTATCGATATATCACCTTATTAAACAGTCCTGGAGATGGCCCTAAGTGTTAATGCGGCAAAGACCAGATTTAGAATTTACAAATTGGCACAGAGGCAAGAAACAGATGAAAATTCCATTACTTTCTAACACTGACCACTTGGATGAGATGGAGAAAATGCCCTCAAACCTACTAGAACACACACTTCAACATAAATCACAGAGATGACTCAGTGAAGCTTGTTGCAGCCTTGTTTCCACTCTGCAAGAGGTTGAAGACAGTCTTTGTAGGGGTATTTTGTATCCCCTGGTGCAGGAGTGCCACGAACTACAAGTGTTTATGTGTTTGGAAGATATGAGGCTGCTTTTCCCAGCAAAGAAACACGTCAAAGGAAAGCATGGAGTCTGTCTCCAAGAGGAGGAGGTACCACAGGACCTGACTCATCCAGAAAAACCACAGGATCCAGCCCTGCTGAAACAGGAAAGGGGATGGCAGCTGCAGCACTCAGAATATCCACCTCGCTTGTGGCTCTGCCTCTGGGACAGCTCATGCCCTTTAAAGCCTTACTCAATAAGCCTGAAAAAAAGCGCAGTAGGAAATCACCCATCAGGAGAATATGGGCAGAATTTGGTGACCCCTGGTGAAAGAAAAGACTCAGAAGCACTTTACTGTTTTAATAAACAACAGTTTTGTAAGAAAGTCTTCCTTTTTTTTTCTTTTTTTTTCTTTTTCACTGAAAACAGACCACTATCAGAGATGCAACTGGAATAACTAAGTCCAATCCAGGATATCAATTCCTACACAGTTTTGCCACTATCACTTAGCCTGGAAACGCTGCACTGATTTCACATTTAGGTTATGTGCTCTGACTTGGAAAGCTTGAGATAAACAATATTCCTTCCAGTTGCAATGACCACAACATTATATGTATCGTGGCATACAATTAAAATCAAATTAATGAAGTTGAATCAATATGATTTATAGCAAAACCAATATGTTTTCTCAAAGTCAAGAACACACTTGATATTCTTAAAATAAAAAGGGATTTACATCATGATATTAAATCAGAGAAAACTTCCCACCTATAAGACTTTGATTATACAAACTGTTTGTTGTGGTCTGTTACTCACATTGTGTAAAAACATAGTGTGTATGATAAAAATAATATTTTGTTCTTGCTTTTAGGACAGCACAATTAGTGAAATTAGTCCCACAGCTAAGAAGCTCTCTTCTTGTAAGCTTTTTTTTTTACAATAAAAATAAAAATCTGTCTTTTGCAAACTACCATGGTGACCTCTCCTGGTAGAAAAATATATAACCTCTAAGCATAGAAAATCAGAATAATCCTCAAAGGAAGAAACACATATGATCCACTTTATAGTTTAGTTTTATATCCTTAAAGATCTAGATGCCATTTACAGATCAAAGCTGACACACAAACTACTAGATATCAAGAGAACATTACAGCCTCCAGCTGTATAAGCAAAAGGCCAATCAAGAGGTTTTGGCAACTTTTTAAAAATAATTTTTCAATAGAATCATAGAATCAGATAAAATTATTGCAGTATCTATTAGGGAATTAAAACTTGCAATAAAAAGCAAGGATAAAAATGTTACTTAAAAGTGACATAAAGAAGGAGGGATGAAAAAAATAGATGGACATAAGCCTACTTTGCTGAAAACATAGTATTTCTGGTCTTTTTTTTTTTTTTTTTTAAATTAAAAAAATAATTTCCATGGAAATTGAAGTCAAAATACTCCTAAACGTGTTTAGCTCCTGTGGGGGAGGTGATTTTCCCCCTCTTCTTAGAGCATCAGTCATAGAACAAGGAGTGCAAAAGGAAGACTTAAATGGAAGTTACAAATATTAGAAGTCAAAATGAACAGTTAAGCAAGCCAAATTTCTATACTGTGAGACATCATAAGCAATCAGCATGGGTTTGATTGATCAGTTCAACTCACTGGGAAAATTTCAATGAGTGAAAGCAAAAAGAAGTGAAATGGTTACAGCTCTGAGAGATTTGGTCAGTGGAAACAGAGTTGATCTATGACAGGGATCCAGGGTAATGTTAAGAGTGCATATATTTATTTTAAGAACAAGTAGATAAAAAACTAGAAGACTACTTCTTCCTTTTTAAATTATTTATTACCAAACTATCTGTAAATTTGTCAGTGAAGAGCTGAAGTATGAAATTACTTCAAGCAGGCAGGGTTTCTAGTTGATTCTTACTATCTCAGAATGTGCATTTTAACAGTATTTTATGTTACAAAAAGAGAACAAACAAGCAATAGGTAAAGACAAAAAGACTACTTAATAATTTTTTCCTGTGTTTTATGAGATGTAGTAATCCATTTTTTAAAAGGAATTTTAAACCAGTTCCAAAAATTCTGATGCTCACATAGGCCTGTTGGGAAAAGGCTTTACCACGCAGTACATAAGAAGGCAAGAAATTCACATTTTCTCCACTCCTCTCAAATTGTTATTCTTAGAAGACAGCAGGTTACACACCTTCTGATAGTCAGGCATGGCACGATAATTTGTGAGACTATATCTCAGAGTACTGCACTTGGTTTGACACTGAGTGTAGCTTAAAGGCCAAGCAGCATTTGCTACAGGATTAACATTAATCAAAATCTCCAAATAACCCAGGGATCCTGACGATGGCACAGTCAGTTGCACCCAAAACTGCATGTGCTAATGTAGTCTAAGCCATAGAAAACAAATAAATAACTGTTCATTATTTTTAAAGCAGACAGAAAACCAAATTCCAAAACACATTAAAAGTCACCATTTAGGGGAAAAACAAAACAAAACAAAACACCAAAAAATCCAAACAAAAACAACCAAAACAAAACTACAATAAGAATATTTACCACACACTGAGACCAAAAAGTATCCTCATGGTTTAAAGATTTAGAAAATCATCATCCCCATTAAACTATGAACTTCCTTTAATGAAATCTGGCATTATTTAAAATGTCCTGGTAACATGCTCTGCATGAGGATTTTTAGCATCTGCCCCCCTTGCTCACCTAAAGCAATCTAGATTTAATCACGCTGATTAGTCTTTCCAAAAAAAAGTTCACTTACCATCCAGAAAAGGGTTCCAGTGGCAAATTCAGAATAATGCTCTATAGTAGACAGTACACTGAATATTAAACATACCAGCACCAAGAGAAACCTGCAGAAAGAAAACAGCATTTAGTGACTTGTGAAGTTGAACTGTAAATCTAGATCTAGTTTTATGTTGCATCCCCACAACTTTTTCCATCTCAAGTATTTTGTGTTTAATCAGTTAGTTCTTCCTGGTCAAGTCAGTATCATTTTGCATTCATTAACTTTTAAGAAACATGTTTACATTAAAGAATGTTTACACACAAAGGAGCATACAAATGGGTATAGCATAGAATCCCAGAATCATTTAGGTTGGAAAAGGCCTCTAAGGTCATCAAGCCCAAACATCAAGCTAACACTTCCATGTCCACCAGGTTCTCTCCACCACACAGCTCAGTTTCTTAAGGGTTCTCTCCCTGCATAGGTTTCTGACATCTATTTGCACTTTAAAAAGTTCTCTACCAATTATTTGCTGTTACAGTAAAATTACTGTGTAGTTACTGAAGAATCAGTCGAAGTACTCCCACTTTATTGATACATCTTAATGATTTCTTAATTAATGACAAACATCAAGGGCTGAAATGTCTTTAGAAAAAAATAAGGCTGAACGAGGAAAGAGATCCAGGTAACACAACTCAGTGAAATTCTTTCAGCACGGGATGGATCTCAGCCATGTTCTCAAGATTTACCAGTTACACTGCCCATCACCCAATCCTGCTACTGCGTTCATTTCAGCATAAACAGCTTGTCAAGCATATTATTCATCAGGTTTACTTCCACCTCAAGCGCTTGTCTGTTTGAAAATGGTGGTATGTTACAGGGGGTACAGAGATCTATCACAAAAAAACCCTAAATTTGCTTCAATGAGCTGCTACGCTGACCAAAGACAAGCCAGCCAGCAGAGGGGGCAGAAGTCCAACATGACCAGAGAGTGAGGCTTCAAAAAAATGAAAAACAGAGCAAAGTGTTCAGGAGAGGCCCCGAAACACAAGCCAGCCTTTGTCAAATGAAAAAAAAAGCAAGTCAATAAGGAGTTTACAGCATGAGGGTGTTGCCAGCATCCCACACCAGAACAGTCTAGGCATGGGAACATGTAAACCTTTAGCTTTTCCTTGACACAGTAGAACTGTTTTCCATGTAAAGAAAATGCAGATTTTTTTTTTTTTTTAAATGGAACATAAAAACCCCTCTGGTCCCTGAAATCAGCATATCAAACACCTCAAGCATAAATGTACCAAGCACCTCTTGAAACTGGTCGGTCTGCTGCTTCTCATCTTTTTTTTATGCAATTTTTGTTCTATTCCTGCCATGATTGCAGCTCTTATTTGTAGGCAAAATGCACGTACAAAGGTGTGGTAACTTCCTCCCAGTAAAGCCCTTTCATTTCTTCCAGATCCCTGCCATTTCAATCACCTCCTTTCAAAATACCTTTGTCTTCTTTTACTGCCCTCACTAGCAATAAATAAACATTTATTAGGGGTTATTCCCATTCTAAATATTGTCTATCATACTGATACTGAGATACTGAGAATAACAGTGCACTTTACACCTTTTCCACTCTAAGGCAGGCAAAGAGAAGAACTGCATATCCTTACATACCCTGCAGATATTATCACTACATCTTCAACCACATTTCCCATTAGGCCTCAGGAAAAGTAACAGAATTTGTAAACATTAAAATAAAAATAAAAAAAAAATAAATTAAAAAAAAATTAAAAAAAAAAAAAGAGAAAAAGAGATAATATATTGAGACACTCTTTCCATTTCCAAAAAATTCGAAAGACCCTTTAAATTCACTTATTTTATGGCACTATATCTTCTGGCCAGTGAGTGTCACTCCTTCCCAGCAAATAACGAAGGCAGATCACGAGCCGAGTACAGATCAAGTTGCAGTGGGGACAAAGCCAAAGTCAATCACAGATCAATCACAGATTAATCAAGAACAGCAACAGAAGAACCAAACCAAACCAAAACACACAAGAAACAAACAAACAAAGAAACAATGTAAAAAGATCTGTTGCACAGCTCAGCAGCAAACTGCAGTGGCAGCACTCCTGCATGTAGTTTGGCACTGGAGAAAAATGCGTTTTATTAAAGAAAAAAAGCTCTCTTTTTGAGTCCACCTTGGCTGAAAGATAGGGCCATTAAGTGCCCTCAGTGGCAAGTCCTAAAACAATCCCAGTGATTTTTCACTTTTATATAATGAGAAGACCGTATGTGTTTCCCAGCCAGGCGAATTCTGTGGAGAGAAAAATTGTGTTAATAGATACTAAAACTGCTAATAATTACTCAGAAAAGGCGCTGTGGGCTCTGATCTCATTCTGTCCCAGTCCCACAGCATCTGATCTAGCTGGAATAAAGCCAGTGCCATGTCTTGGAGCAACGTGTGCCCAGGGAACAAGTTCTGGAAACCTGCAGTCCAACAGCTGTGCAGTGGGGTTAGATGTTAAACAAGATCATCTGCATTTTATTCTTTCCATTAATAAAAAAAAAAATATTTGTTCGGCTGGCATACACAGCATTACCCATTTCACAGCAGATCCAAAATACAGAAACAAAGATTTTTTTCTACTGCATGTAACTGCAGTAAAAAGCTGTCGCTCCAGTGCTACAAACAGACAAACCAACGCCCTCAGTTCTACCACGCAGGCATGCACTCAGACATGATAATCTTCTCTTGGCTTCCTCCAAAAGAACTTTACCATCCTTTTTGAGTCCTAGGAGATAGTGCAAGAAGTGCTTTCAGCCAAGGCCTTCCCAGTACCAAGGACTCTTTTTTTTGATAACAACTCCACAAAATGCTGGAAACCTCTCCCACTAGTGATGCTTTACATTTGAAAGATATCTAGTCTTCCTTTTGGCCATGGAACCCCAAACATGAGGTTCAGGAGTGAGGGGGAATGGCAGGAACCTAATTACTACTCCTCACAACTAAAAATAGATCTTCCCATCTGCCACATGAAGTATTGAAGTATCTGTGTTATGATAAAAGTGCTGGAGACAAGTAGAGGAAACAAAGGTCAAGTTCTCCCTGCACCCCAAGTAAATCCACTCCCACAGAAACAACCAGTCCTTTAGCACCTTTCTCCCCCATAGAGTGGAAGATCATTTCTTTCTCCCTCTGGATATCTTTAAACCACTCTGCCTTCTTAGCTCTTTCAAGGCTGCAGTCTCTGTAACTGAGCCACGCACCAGAATGCAGGTTGGTTTTGACAAGTCTAACCTCAAAGATAAACAGCCTCATTAATTGCCAGCTGATCTGCAGAATCCCACAAGACACAGTCCTCTTGCCTCTCAGGCAACCAGAAAACCTCCTGGTGGATTGCTCCTGACAGCCTCTGGAATGCTAAACATAGCTCTAACCAATGACCTTTTTAAACACACTGGAGGAAAAAGCCTTGGGTGAGGGCCAAGTCTCCCTAAAAAGAGCAGAACAATAGCTGAGCACGTGGTACAACATGCAAACCTTTAGCAAGGCTTACCAGTGAATCACAGAACACGCCAAGCTGGAAGGGACCCACGAAGATCAGTAGCACTAAGGTCTCACTTCAGGTTTTGGTTTGAGAAACAAACTGTCCCTCCTAAACATAACAGCGAAGTCTACCAATGTTAACTTGTCAACAAGTAACAAACACATCCCGGGTCTCCTCCCAAATATTTCTGATCATATTTCTGGGATACCTACAGGTGGGGCAGCAGCAGATGGGTCTGTGTTCAGCACTGCTGGCTTGGGGTGAAAGTATTTAAAGGTTGTCCTTGTCACGTGGCAATTTCCCCTTCCCCACCAGCCCCCAGTCTGGCTGCCTCATTTCCCCCCTGACATCCACACCCTCCCTGGCAAAGGGCTCTTCTCTGAGCTGCAAGGGTGTGAAAACAGGCTGTGGTTGTTTGTTTGCTTGCAGGTGGTTATTTACACCAACAGGGAACAGTGTCTCCTGTTGGCAGCTGTTCAGTTCCTAAAGGGAAGAAGCTGATAAGGCAGAGACATAAATAATTACCAGCTAGTAGAGCTGGACTACTCTTTCTACTTTCTTGTGGAGGTGCCACTTTCCAATATTTCGTCCTCTTTGAGCCTTTCTGTGATTTTTGAGGATGCTGTCACAGTCTGAGCCATTACTTCAGAAAATACTGTTTTTCTTTTCTACCATATAGTTGCTAAACATGGAGAAGTATTTCCTCTCAAAACATCTGAATTTTTTTGTTTTAACTTTTCTGAAGAAAGAAACTTATGACAAAACATCTATTTGCAGACCCTTCCTCATTCTCCATTTAAAAAATAAAAAAAAAATGTTTTACTTATCAGAAGTAAGAGGATTACCTGAGAATCTCCCATTTGGTTTCAGATTCTCAGGTGGCACAGTTCACATTTACAGAACATGAAGTGTCAGGTTTTCCCATGAAACATCTTGCTAGGGTAAACGAAATTTTAATATTTCTTGATTTCTCCCAAGTTCCTTAAGCCTCACGTCAACACAAAAAAATACAACTGCTTTTTCATCAGAAAAGATGTTTCTGTTGTTATTGTAGCCAGGGACAAATTACATTTAAGAGACTTAGGGACAACAAGCACTCTTAACTGGAGCCTAAGCTGGGAACTCATAGGTTAACCACCAACACTGAGAGCAAAATGATGTCAAGTACTTTATCAAGGGTGAACCTTTCCAAGGTCATGCTACAACAATCTCATTTTCCATGGAAGACAAACCTGATGAAAGTTCTTAAAGGCGAACTTCGTAACTCATAATTCCTCTTTTTAAGTGATTTGTGGTTTTTTTTTGGTTTTGTTTGTTTGTTTTTTAAGTTTTGCAGCAAATAATGCCATTTCTAGCAAATGGCTTGTAGGAAACCCCATCTTTCAAATTTCTTAGGATAAAACAAATTAGCTGTGTGCTGTTTGCTCCAGATGATTTGAGCAGCCTGGGCTGGTGGAAGGTGTCCCTGCCCATGGCAGGGGGTTGGAACGAGATGATCTTTAAGGTCCCTTCCAACCCAAACCATTCCATGATCCTATGATATGAATCCAAAATACCCCAGTCTACTAACACAGTAGGAGAGAGAAAAATCCAG